AAAAAAAAAAAAAAAAAAAGTTATGATAGATGCAAGCATATTTGCTGGGCTTTAGTTGATTACTGTGATCATCATTTTTAAAGTTCAGATTGTCTTATTTTGGCTAGTGGGAATCTATCTAACCAATAAGATTACCTATTTTTTTAAGTATGTATTTTTATTGTTAAATATTTTTTCTTTTGTTTTTTTTGAGACAGGGTTTCTCTATGTAGCCTTGACTATCCTGGAGTGTGCTCTGTAGACCAGACTGGCCTTGAACTCATAGAAGTCTGCCTGCCTCTGTCTCCTGAATGCTGGAATTAAAGGTGTGCACCACCACTGCCTGGCAGTATTTTATTTTCTAATACAGGGTTTGACTATGTAGTCCTGGCTGGCCTGGAACTCACTACATAGACACAGACTGACCTCAAACTCACAGAGATCCACCTGCCTCTGCCTCCTGTTTCCTGGATACTGGTATTTAAGGTGTGTGCTACCATTGCTGGCAAGATTTAATTTTAATTGTGTGTGTGTGTATGTGTATGGTGTGTAGGTAGGTAGGTAGGTATATGCATAGAAGTGTGAGTACCAGAGGAGGCCAGAAGAGGACACTGGATATTCTGAAGCTGGAGTTACAGGCAGCTATGTGATCTGGGATGGGTTTCTTGGAACTGAACTTGGGTCCTTTGAAAGAGCAACAAACACTCTTAGCCACTGAGCTTTTAGGCCAAAAGAGGGTGTTGGATTCCTTGAAGCTGCAGTTACAGGTAGTTGTGAGCTGCCTCAGTTCCCCTGGAAGAACAGCAAGTGCTCTTGACTGCTGAGCCATCTCTCTAGCCCTAGCAATATGTTCTTAACTGAGCACATTGAGGAATGGGCCATGTGAGTATCTATAGTCCCCCCTGATTAAAATCCACAAGGTCCCTCTGTTTGAGAAAGATATTGCTTTGACAGTGACTCCCATAATTTCTTTGCCTGTTGTAGGTAATAACTTTTTCTCTACTCTTTTTGTCCTGGCTGTACTTATTTTGACTTTGCACTCAGAAAGATGTGAACCCACTGTGTTTGGTTATAGAAAGACTTATTCATTAGAAAGAAATGGTACTTGTGACTTCTTGGCAAGGATGCTGTCTTAGGGTTCCTATTGCTGTGAAGAGAAACCATATCCATGGCAACTCTTGTAAAGGAAAACATTTAATTGGGATGGCTGGCTTACAGTTCAAAGGTTGAGTTCATTATCCTCATGGTGGGACATGGCAGAGTGCAGGCAGACATGGTGCTGTAACTGAGAGTCCTGTATCTTGTAGGCAACAGGAAGTGATCTGAGGTGCTGGGCATGCCTTGGGCATACATGAGACCTCAAAGCTCACCCCCACAGTGACATACTTCCTAAGATCTCTTTCCTAATTCTTTAACCTTGTCCCAAGCATTTAAAGCTGCTAAATGGCATAGCACCAAGGTGTGATTATCAAATTCAAGCTGCCTTTGTAACTCAGCATATTGGCCTTCACTTGGAAACTGATCTTGGAAAATATTAATACCTCTAGCCCTATTTCATTGTTCTATGGCCCTAGCTTACTCTTTTCATCATGTTTGCCATTGTAACTGAGGACCAGCTTCCAATATTGCTGTTGCCAGATCTTTCCAGTCTTGGGGGATAATTCTGTTCTGAGTTGTCCATGAATTTAATATCTGCTTCACATAGGGTTAGTGAATACCATATGAAGTGACTGCTTTCTTTCTTTCTTTCTTTTTTTTTTGGACTTTTTTTCTTTGTATTTATTTTATGTTCAATTTCTTTCCACACCACACATTTTTTTTTTCTTTCCTTCTCCTCTGCAGTATTTTTTTTTTTTTCTTTTTTTACCATTCTTCCTTTCTGGTTCAGAGGCAACCTTTGACTTTTCTGGGAAGATCATCTGGATGTGACAGCAGAGCTCAGGTGTGGGGGGATCCCCCCAGGAGTCCTGTGGATGCCATGACACATGCTAGGTGCTCTGCTCACCTGGAAATGTCCTATGAACCAAGAATACCAGTGAAGAGCTAGTCGTTGTGCAGAACACAAACAAATTGTCAGCTGATCCATCTTGTGGGACTCCTGGCCTTTTGTGGTGTTTGAACCATGGTAACATTTCATCAGTTGCAGAGAGTTTCAGCAAGTCAGGCCACTCTTCTTAGACTGAAGGGAGCTCTGTCCACTGGAGGTCTGTTCAGTGCCTCCTTCCAACTGCCAGTGTTGCGGTAACGCCCTCGCTACCACCACCCGTTCACCATGTCCGATCGAGGGGCTTTTTCTT